ACTATTTACATGCTGGCCCTGGGGGCGACACCGCTAAGTTAATGCAACCCCAGGGAGAGGCCTTGAGGGGTTTTTTTGTGGGGGGGAAAGGAGGTTGCACCCACAAAGTCAATCCAAGCAGCAGCAGCCCTGGGCGCCCAGCAAAGCTCCCGAGTCCCGGGCAAGCGGTGGAGAAAGAGGGGGAAAAGGTTGGTGGCCCTTGGGGAAAAGGTCCCGGCCACGCGGAGCCCATCGGGCCCGTTAGCACCAAGAGTTCATCGGGGTCTTGGGAAGTTGGGGGGGGAGAATATGGGTCCCCCCACTTCGTTACCCTCCTCTTTAGTGCACCCCTTCGCTGCCCTTGTCCTGGATGTCCCAGGAGAGGACAGGACGGGGCACCAAAAAGAGGGGAAGAAGAGAAACAAAAAAAAAAAAAAAAAAAAAAAAAAAAAAAGAGAAAAAAAATACTCCTATTTAAAAATATTCCTATTTAAAAATATTCCTATTTAAAAATATTCCTATTTAAAAATATTCCTATTTAAAAATGCTCCCATTTTAAAAATGCTCCCATTTTAAAAATATTCCCATTTTTAAAATATTTCCTATTTAAAAATACTCCTATTGCAGGGCGGGGAGCGGGTGCTCGTGGCGGGCCGGAGCGGACCCCTGTCCCCCGCCTTAGCTGGGCATCTGCACCTCGTCGTACACGTCCTTGCCCTCCACCTCGTCCAAGGTGACGGTGGCGCTGTCGGCGTCCAGCTGCGGGCAAAGAGGGCACCGTTAATGGACGGGGCGGGTGGTCCGGGCTGGGGGGCTCGCGGCGGCGCCGCAGGGCTACGTACGCATCGGAGCTCAGTCTCCTGGAAGATCCTGGGCAGCAGGAAGCGGCGGAGCGGCACGGTGAGGATGAGGATGAAGGGCAAGGCCAGCGAGGCCTTCGTAGACTTCACGGCCCACAGCACGGCCAGGGTGACGATCTGGGTGAAGGTGAAGAGGTGCATGCGCCACGTCTTCACCTGAGGGAGGGAAAGCCCAAGCGGATCAGGAATCCCCGGAGGTTTCAGGAGAGCGTCCCGTGGTGATCCATCCTGGAACATCTCCCTTGACAGGGACCAGGCACTCACCACTTTCACATAGGGCTCATCGGGGTGATACTTGGGTGGCATCAACATGAACAGGATGCGGTCAAAGAGCTGGATGCCGAAGAGGGAGGTGACGCCCATGTAGAGGAAGATGCCGAAGAGCACAGCCAGCGGGATGTACTTCAGGATGGGCTCCATGAGGATGGAGACGCCTGTGACGGAGAAGGGCGGCTCAGGGAACTACAGCGCGGCTGGGGACAGCTGGGGGACGCGAGGGGCCTCCTCCCGCACGGAGATGCTCACCGATGAGCACGGCCACCAGCAAGCCGCTGATGCGCTGCTCCTTGACCTCCAGGATCTGGGGCTTGTCGTCGGGCGCCGAGGCCTTGCTCATGATGGTGAGCGCGTTGGCGTGCGTGATGGTGCGCACGGTGGTGGCGCTGAGCCAGGGCATGCCGAAGAGCGCCGCCACGCCGCCCATGCCCACGATGAGCAGCAGGTCCAGGTGGAAGCCCGAGCCCTTCACCAGCTTGCGCTCGGGCTTGCTGACGATGAGGCTGGGGGACAGCAGGCATCGTGGGAGGAGGCCCTTCGTCCCCAACGCTTCTCCTTGCGCCCGTCCCGTTGCCCGCCACGTGCTGYAGCCCCCTCCCCGCGGCCCCTTACGTTGTGATCTGCGTCTCGAGGAAGATGAGGATGAAGACCAAGAGGGCCGGCACCACGGCAGCGAACATCATCCAGGTGGGGAATGAGTGGTTTTTGCCCAAGGGGTGGATGAACCATTCACGGGCGGTCCCGTTGGTGAGCTCCAGGCCTTTGGGCACCTTCAGTTTCTGTGCAGAAGGAGAGGGAGGGCAGTGAGGGGCTGCAATGGGGGCATGGGGCCAAACTGGGGGGGTCCCAGCGCCCGGGCGGGCCCCGGCGGTACCTGTGTGTACGTGTCCTTGATGAAGAAGTCAACGAGCGTCATGAGGAAGATGGAAATGGGCACCCCGAAGTCTCCGACCAAGCGGCGGACCTGTAGGGAGAAGCTGGATCACCACAGCTCTCCGCGGACCGCCGGCGTGGCACGCGGCGAGCCGGCAAGTTCTCAGCCGCCCTTGCCAGAGCCACCGCTGCCGCCCGCGCGCACCTTGCCGGGCAGGAACATGCTGTTCTTGAACTGGCGGAGGAAGAGAGCCAGGAAGAAGGTGCCGGCCATGAGCACGAGGGAGAGCAGCGCCGTGTTGGGCTCCGCCACGGGGTTCGCGCCGGGGCTCAGCGTGGGCGTCACGTTGTGGTGACGCTGCAGCGGGTGCATCTTGAAGATCTGCGCAGGGGCGGAGAAGCGGCTCAGGATGCGGACGGGGCTGAGCACCGGCCCCCCGCCACCCTTCGGACCCCCCCCGCCCCGCACCGTGATGAGCTTGTCGAAGGTCTCGTAGATGAAGATGAGGGAGATGAGGAAGGAGAAGATCTCCTGGGTGTAGCGGGAGAGGTAGCGCACCAGGATGCTGCCCTCGCAGGCCACCACCACCAGCACGAGCAGGATGAGCCAGAAGCCCACCCAGACGCGGCCCACGAGGTAGTCCAGGTTGTTGCTCTCGCAGAACTGCCCCAAGGAGAGGACACGGCCCCGTCACTCCCAGCCCTGGTGGCAACACAGCCTGGGTGCCCTGCCGTGGCCCCATGCCTGCACCTCGGGGCTGGGGGACGGCCACTGTGGCATCCTAGGGGTGCCAGCACCCATGGGTCAGCACCCACAGGCTGCCATCCAGGTGGCACCACTCAAGTGGCATCTCCCATAGAGCATCTCCCATAGAGCATCTCCCTGGGACACCCCCCAGGTGCCAGTCCCCTCCCCAGGGAGCACCGGCCCCTCGCAGCGGCCCAGGGACACCCATGGGTGCAGGCCAGCACCCACCGTGAAGAAGGACTCCTCGAAGACAAGCAGGGGCCCCGAGAAGCCGACGACAAGCAGGGGCTGGGCGCTGAGCAGGCTGAAGAGGACGCACTGCACGCACGTGGCAATGAGCAGCTCCGACACCCCCATCATACCCCGGGTCTTCTCATCTGTGGAGCAGTGGAATGGCTGAGCGCGGACCCCCCCATGGCCCCCATGACCCCCATCCCTCACCCCATGGCACCCATGGGTGCTGGCACCGTGGAAGAAGCAGCAACTCCCAGCAACGTTCCTGGGATGATGGAGCGAGWTGATGCTCCAGGGGGTGGTTCCCTCCCTCCGTGCCCCATCCCGGGGTCCTCCTTATCATCCACGGATGTCCCCAGCCTGTCCCCTCCCTTACTCAGCAGGCCTCCGAAGGTGACAGCTGGTGACAGGGCGGCGAAGTAGATGAAGATGACGGCGGCCAAGCACTGGGGGTTCAGGGCGTCCGTGATGTCGCTGAGATACTTGGGGTAGCGGCGGCGGATGTCCCGCACCAGCCCCCCRAACGGCCGCCCCGTTCGCTTCAGGGGGTCGTCGTCCTCCGCCGCCGGTGCCAGCGGCTGCTTGAACCCTGCAGGGATGAATAGGTGACAAGGAGTGACATGGAGGCCACCGTGGAGTGGAGCCCACCCCAGGGCCGGGATGTCCCCCGTGCCGTACCCGGCTCCAAGGGGGAGCCGCTGCCGGGCGGCTGCTGGGGGCTCTGGTAGCGGCGGCGCAGCAGCTCCCGCCGCAGCGGCAGCAGCCCCTGCAGCTGCTCCTCGTCCTGCGCCTCGGCGGGCAGCAGCACCACGCTGGCCTCCAGGAAGGAGTCCACGGCGCGCAGCAGCTCCTGGCGGCTCTCGGCCAGGGAGGCGTCGCGGCGGAACACCTGCCGCGCGGGGACAGGGGGCACGCGGCGTGGGGACACGGCGGTGTGGGGTGTGGGGACACGGCGGTGTGGGGTGTGGGG